GGGGTCAATGGAGACCTACTGTTATAGCTTCGACGGCCACCTGCAAGCTTTTAAGACCCCAGGCGCTACACTAAGCTTCCCTTTTGAAGGACTTAGACCTCCACACTGATCCTCATTTATTCATGTATTCCTAACATCTGCACCACATTAAGCAGCTAACTGTTGAAAACAACTTTTTAACAAGATTAAAGAAAGTGAGACAAGTGTCCAGATCAAATTAATAACTCAGCATGGTCTTTCAGAAAGCCACGATGCAACATCAATTGTGTAACTGAGTGGTGATGGCAGAGGAAAGCTACTTACGTTTCTTTTCAAAGACTTTATCACTCATTGGCCTTCCATCATTCTGTTGCTTCTCTTTCTCTAATTGTTCCTGTTATTAAAACATTTTCTTAGCATTAAAGGTACAGCTTAAATAAATTTAGGAAATTCGTCTAATGAGAGATGACTCTAAGCTTCACAGATACTAATGCAGTTCACAAAAATGATTAAAATAATTTTTTTTTTTTCAAATTAGTGCCTAACGAAGTCAGGATTCTTCCAGATTTGTTTGTGCCCTTGGTTCTTTGTCAAGCTGTAACACTGAGTAAGGTATCACTGCTGTAAAACCAGTTGCCATCGAGTAGACTCTGATTCATGATGACCTCAAGTGTGTCAGATTAGAAATGTGCTCCAGAGGGTTTTCTATGGCTGATTTTTCAGAAGTAGATCACCAGTCCTTTCTTCCAAGGTGCCTCTGGGTAGACTTGAACCTCCAACCTCTCAGAGAGCAGTAGAGTGCATTAACTGTTTACATCACACAGGGACTCCATCATTGCTGTAATGGGCCCTTATTTTCTAGAAGGTATTTACAGATTCTCATCAGCAAAATACGTTATAACTGGTCATTTCAATTTCTGATTGGTAATTAGAAAAATAATATTTTTCTTTAAAATGATTGGAAGAAAAGGAAATGGTCTCTTGTATATTTTTGATAAACGTCTTATTGAAGTATAATATACCAGAAATGTGAAGAAATTATATGTATACAGCTCAATAATTTCCAAAAAGCGAACACACCAGCTCCCAGATCAAGAAACAAAACATTATCGAAACCCAGGAGCCCCTTATGCCAATAGAACAAGAAGGCAAAAAAACAATGAAGATATCAAGTTCTAAACAAACCTGACCTGACATGTACAGAACACTACACTCAACAAATGGAGAACGTACATTGTTCTCAAGTGCACACGGAAAATAAAGAAAGAGAAGATGGAGGATAGACAACACGATAACGAATTTCCATACAGAACTGAACTCCAGAAAGAATCAAGTGGAAATTCTGAAACTGAAAATGAAACACATAATACCAAAAAAATAAAACATCATTTGGTAGGTTTAACAGCAGTCATCTATTTTCTTGATCTTTTTCTCTATTATCTTAATTGTATTAATCACAGTTATCTTGAAGTCCTTGTCTGCTACTAACTCCAATATCAGGATCATCTGTGGGTCTTTTTCTCTTGTCTGCTTTTTGTCTTGGTTTTAGGTCATATGTTCCTAAAAAATTTTTTACAGCCTGCTGTATTCTCTACAGCTTCTACCACTGGCAATCATGACCTCTAATCTTTATCTTGCAAGATGGCCACAATAATGCACTTTGGTTTTCAGAGGATTTCCACTCATGTTTTCAGTCTCGCAGTTCCAGAATTCTCAACAGAGAAGTAAAAAAGTATAAAAAAGAACCAAGTGGAAATTTTAGAACTGAAAAATTCAATATTAGAAATAAAAAAGAATTCACCATATAGGCTCAACAGCAGAATGGACATAACGAAGACGGGTGGCACTGAAAATAGATCAACAAAAATTATTTTGAGGAGCAGAAAGA